ATTCTCTACCTAAGGATGGCGGGGTTGGCAATTGCTTCGCTTAAAGTTCATCTGGCAGCAATCTTGGCCTTCTGTCTTCCCATCGATGCTCATTTGCTGTTCGCCCATCCACTCACTAAAAGGTTTCTAAAGGGGCTCGGGAATCCAGCTTACAAGAGCCCACCAGAGCCGTGGGACTTGGCTTTAGTAGGGTATGTCTACACTACCCTCCTAGTTCGAACTAGGAGGGTAGTGTAGACATACCCCATGTGAATTGGCAGCTCTATCCGTACATACTATTCTCTGAGCATGGGGTACTACTCCGTGTCCACCCTCTTCCTTCCGAAGGTGAATTCTCCTTTTCATATAAATGAGTCCATAAGCCTGCAATCATTCTATTGTGGAAGAAAACATTGTCCTCACTCTGCGTTTGTAAGCAACAAGTAGCCAGACGCAGTTTTATTATGAGCTGCAGCAAGGGAAAAACTGGTTCGGACGGGGGGGAAGCCCCCCCCCCTCCGAGGCAGATCTTCGAATACATGCCATTATGAAGCAGTTTATATACTGTGCATTAGATATAATAACAATAACAATGAGTCTCCTTCCCATTACAAACATCAATGGTTAACAGTTATTTTAGTTCCACCCAGATGCTCCTTATCTCAAGGTCCCTGCCAGAGTCAGCATTCTATCCTTATCTCAGTATGGAGGTGAGAGGCAAAGGCAGCATCTAATTACAGCTCTCGCCTTGTCAGGCCACAGACTTAGCCTGACTCTTGCTCTCTTGTTAACAAGACCAAGATGGCTGCACACAAATTCCGTTATTCCCTTTTCCTGCTTCCACAATATCCAAAGCCACATTCTTCACCAGAAGATTCATGTCTACATATGCTTGATGTCAGGCAAGCGCTGGCCTTTTATCTGGACAGAGTGCATGTTTTTAGGAAGTCTCAGCGTCGTCTTATAGCCACGGCGGAGCGTTCGAAAGGCCAACGGCTCTCCACACAATGTATTTCCAACTTAATCATCTCTTGCATCACACATTGTTATGCCCTACGGCATGAACCTTTACTGAGACGGCCTCATGCCCATTCCACCAGAGGCATGGTCGCATCCATTGCTTACCTTAAAGGTTTGCCCTGGCAGGACATATGCCATGCAGCAACTTGGTCATCTGCTCTTACCTTTGCCAGACACTATACCCTCGCGAAAATATTGAAGAACAATTCAGCAGTGGCGCAGGCAGTTCTGGCCACAGCATAGAGACCATAAGTCCGAAGCACACTGATAGCATTGGACCACTGCTGTGTACTCACCTCGAATGGAGCACCCTCGGGGACACTACTCGATGAAGAAGAGAGAGTTACTCACCTTGTGCAGTAATGTCTGTTCTTCGAGATGTGTGTCCCCGTGGGTGCTCCATGACCCACTCTCCTCCCTGCTTCAGAGCCTCTGTTTTTATCTTTCAGATGCTTCCAGTTGGGAGGAAACTGACAAGCCGGCCCATGCTCAGCTGTAACAGCGCAAACGGCGCGAGACAGCATGAGCTCATTCGCGAGCCGGAAGGGCTACTGCTAAGGAAGATTCTCCGTTTACAGCACCGAGACAAGCCCAGCACCTTGAATGGAGCACCCACGGGGACACACATCTTGAAAAACAGATGTTACTGCACAAGGTGAGTAACTCTCTCTGCCTGATTCTGCAGCCCTTGCTCCTGCTAAACAGGGTCTGTGAATGGTCTCATTTAAATCAAGTGTGACTTTGTGAAGTGAGGTACTTCTTAGTTTAAGTAGGGTAAGCCTTTAATTCAGGTATGATGGAGGAGAATTCTCAAGTGAGTTCTAGTTAATTATGAACACATTTTAGTCACAATGAAACTTTGTTTTCCAAGTAGGGATTATTTTCTAAAAAACACCAAGTTGTAGATTTTGGGACAGCTTGGTATTTCTGTAATAGGGTATGTCTACACTACAAAGTTAGTTCGAACTAACTTTAATAGGTGCTACACTAGCGCTCCGCTAGTTCGAATTTGAATCGAACTAGCGGAGCGCTTAGTTCGAACTAGGTAAACCTCATTTTACGAGGACTAACGCCTAGTTCGAACTAGCTAGTTCGAACTAGGCGTTAGTCCTCGTAAAATGAGGTTTACCTAGTTCGAACTAAGCGCTCCGCTAGTTCGATTCAAATTCGAACTAGCGGAGCGCTAGTGTAGCACCTATTAAAGTTAGTTCGAACTAACTTTAATAGGTGCTACACTAGCGCTCCGCTAGTTCGAATTTGAATCGAACTAGCGGAGCGCTTAGTTCGAACTAGGTAAACCTCATTTTACGAGGACTAACGCCTAGTTCGAACTAGCTAGTTCGAACTAGGCGTTAGTCCTCGTAAAATGAGGTTTACCTAGTTCGAACTAAGCGCTCCGCTAGTTCGATTCAAATTCGAACTAGCGGAGCGCTAGTGTAGCACCTATTAAAGTTAGTTCGAACTAACGTCCGTTAGTTCGAACTAACTTTAATAGGTGCTACACTAGCGCTCCGCTAGTTCGAATTTGAATCGAACTAGCGGAGCGCTTAGTTCGAACTAGGTAAACCTCATTTTACGAGGACTAACGCCTAGTTCGAACTAGCTAGTTCGAACTAGGCGTTAGTCCTCGTAAAATGAGGTTTACCTAGTTCGAACTAAGCGCTCCGCTAGTTCGATTCAAATTCGAACTAGCGGAGCGCTAGTGTAGCACCTATTAAAGTTAGTTCGAACTAACGTCCGTTAGTTCGAACTAACTTTGTAGTGTAGACATACCCATACTTACCTATGTATGTAATCAAATGCATTGCATTTTTATAACTGTGAGGCTACATTTGTATTTACTTTGATTATTTCCAGCAAATGCTAATTTTAAAAAGATTGTCTGTATAATATCCTATGAACAAACTGTGAATGTGGGCAGAAGTTCAACTATCACAACTGTTTTTTTTTCCATAGGTTTGGTTTTCTGATGATGGAGGCAACACTTTTATGTTGTTAATCACTCTGGAGAATGAAATAATTATAAAAACAAATATGTGTGTTTATAGTCAATCAATTGCATTTGTGACAGACAAGGAAAGCATCTTCTTTGCTAAAGCAGGTGAGGAATTCAGAGTTAGTTCTGTAGTGGTCAGGAACTGACCCAGGGCAACTGCTTTTCTAACCATACTCCATGAAAAATATTTCAAGAGAGTTCTTTGTTACCATTAGTTTGAAGTACCTTGGCTGAAGGGATACAAGAAATATTTTAAACAGATACAAAAAATAATACATCCAGTTCATACCTACCACTAAGTTCTGAATGCACTTTCATTTGGTTGGAAAAGCTCTTTGTATTGTGGCAACAGGAGTAACATTAAAGCCATCCTTACCTGTACGCAGTTGCATAGGACACCTGAAAATTTGGGGCATCACTGGGTCTTAATGTCCACCCATCTGCCTCTTCCTATCTCTGCTCTGTGGCTCTGCTTCCTCTGGAGAGGATCTAGTTAACTTAAAAGTGAAAAAGGCTGCAAGACCTGTGGAAGAGCCATTCAAGTGGTAATGAAGCCACTTAACAGGCATTTGTCAACCCCTGTCAGTTTCTGAATTTACTGTGTTAGTCTAAAGAACCTTAATTTAAATTTTGATTTAAAATATTTCATTAGTAGTGTGTTGCTGAAGATTATAAAATCACAACTCTAAAAACTTATCATCCCACTCCAGCTGCCATTGGCCAGTTTTATAGTACTGAGTAGGGCCCCATAAATCTTAAAGATGGCCCTGATTAACATACACATCTAAACTGCAAAGCGGACAATCTGATTGGGCTGAGCATCAATAATACACACATTATTGAAGTCGGTGCGAATTTTGTTATTGACTTCACAAATTGCAGGGCTTGGGCCTGAGACTTGCCTGAGCTTTGGGCCTTTGAGACAGCAGTGTGGTTGTATGCATAGATCCCCTGTCCCACACAGAGCGTCATGATGATAAAGAACACAAAGGCTGACTACAGTGCTCAGTACTAGGGATGGTAAATTGCAGGTAATCGGCTAATTGAGTAGTTGATGGAATTTCCATGAACTATATAAAACTACACAATTATTCAATAAAATGGAAACAATAAAGTCGTAGTGGGGGGAACAGCATGAGCTGGGAATCAGCTGTTCCAGCTCATTCCCGGTCCCCCCACCTGGCTCTTAATACATTTAAAAAGCAGAGACACAGTGGCGAAGGGGAGGACTGGGAGTAAGCCCAAGAATTGGCTGATTCCTGGCTTGCGCCAGTCCCCCACTACACCTTTGCTTCTTTTGCCTACCCGAGGCAGCACTGGGGGGAACCAGCTTTTAAGCACTGGGGGGAACCAGCTCCTGCTCTCCCCCTTGCTGTCTCTCTCTGATAGAGGCAGCAAAGGGGGGAAGTGATTAGTCAAGTCACTACTCAATGACCTGATAATCATATGTTATCGGGTAGTCAACTAGTCGCTTACATCCCTACTCAGTACAGGATTCAGGACCTTAAATAGTATGTGCTATAGGAGATAATCATTCAGTTACATTTGATTGTGATTTTGTTCTAAATATTTTTTTATTTATTAGCTTACTATAAGCTTGTTTCTCAGATTTTAAAAAAAGTATCATCCTGAGTCATCACAGCTCCCTCAGAAACCAGCAGTACCCTTCTACTTTATTGCAATAAACCTAAACTCACTATGCTACCAAGTTTTGTTTGTGCATATGGTCCATTTTCAATATAGTGTCTTATATTCTTTCTTTGTAGGTTTAGAAAGATATGCCCGGCTTACAACATCAGCATTCCATGTTTTCAATTTATACTATGACCACTTGGGGTCTTTAAACATAATTTCTCTGAATAAATCGGTCTCTGATAGTCTGGAAATAAGCCTGCTTGATGTTATCACCCTAGTACAGGTTAGCTGTATAATGAAATTATCAAATTGGTTTAGGATACATTTATCCCATCTCCTTCCTCCCCAGGCACAAAGTTCAAGTTTTGTACTAGGAGGTGGAGGGAATCCACCCTCATCCCTTGGATGAGCTGCAAGGCTGCTATACTTCCACCATTTCTGTGTTTCTAGTCCATGACCTGGAATAAGTCATAATCTGTTCTTTGCTTTTATGATGAGTACAAGTCAGTGTGTCTCCAGTAGTCAATTTCCACATTCCACCTCAAACAACATTGTCTGGCCACCCTATGGTCAGCACAGGTTTGCATAGGCCTTTCCTTGCTAATAGATGGTGCAATGATGTACTTGAATGGGGCAGAGGACTTTGAGTATGCTCTTGACATATGAGTGGATTTTACCTTAAATGGAAGAGAGCTAAATCACCCAACTCACATACATAGCCCTGTCAAATTCATGGCTATGAAAAATGCGTCATGGATAATTAAATAAGGCCTTCCCCTGTGAAATACAGTCTTTTACCTTGTACTATACAGGTTTCATGTGGGAGACCTGCATTTCTCAAATTAGGGGCCCTGAGCCAAAAGGAAGTTGCAGAGGGTTGTGAGATTATTTTGGGGGCAGCGCTGAAGGCATGCAGAAGTAAGGGTAGAAATACTTTGCAGCAGCACTTACGATACGATATTGACACTCTTATTTCTGCACTGTAGCTGGTAGAAGCTCTGCCTTCAGAGATTCAGGGAGCAGCCATTGCTTTCCAGCTGCCTAGGTCTGAAGGCAGCATCGCTGCCAGCAAGAGTACAGAATTAAAAGTAGCAGTGCTGCAAACTCTCAGCCCCAGGATAATTCTGACTCCCCCAACTCTTTTTGGGTCAGGATGCCTACAATTACAACTCTGTGAAATTTCAGATTTAAATAGCTGAAATAATGAAATTTACCATTTTAAAGATCCTAGTAATGTGAAATTGACCAAAACAGACCATGAATTTAAGGCCTTATATATACTGGGTACTAGTAAATTTCATTTCTTTTTATATTTTATATAATACCTAAAGAAATGGGTTAAGAACTGTGAGGAAATTAACTTTCTTTCATAATAATAAAAAAGAAAGGCATGATGCAGGAATATGAAGGGGGAGGTTAAATGGAGTTATTCACTCATAGGTAAAATCGTGGCCAATGAGGCTACGTCTAGACTACAAGCTTCTTGCACAAGATGCTTTTTTTGGAAGAGATCTTCTGAAAAAACTCTGCACAATAGGGAGTCCACACTCAGGGGCAGCCCTAGACTAGCTGCCAGCAACTGGCGCCCTAGGCGAACCATGCAATCGGTGCCTCCCCCTCCCCCAAGGGCAGATATCAACTGAGGGTTTTGGTTCTGTGCTGGGGAGAGGGGGGCTGGGGATGGAGTTCTATTGGCTGGGGGCCGAGGGGCTGGGGATGGAGTTCTGGGGCTAG